GGCTGGCACACAGCTGGTAACTGGAGGAGGCTGTATGCTCGTTTTTTGTGCAGGCTGATTTAGGGTACTTGTGAAGAGAAGAGCATTATTTGATACTCTACATTGTTTCCTGGGACAAGTGTGAGGCTTCTGAACAGTGAACTTTGTCTGTCTTTAGCGTTTCAAAGCAACGAGCTACTGACATTCTTCTATACCTCAGGAGCAGGATGCCTCCTTCCCTGTGACAGCTGGATTTTCTTCATTCCACTTGTGATGTAGATACAGACAGCTGGCTCCAAAACATTGAAGAAAGTCAGGGCACTGTCTTACAAATGTAGCCATTCCTCTATGGAGGCAGCTTATTCCTCTGTGGAGGTAGCTGTAAAGTTTTTGTCTTGGTTATGTGCCTGCAGCAGTCAGAACAGGCTGGCTGTGCTGCTGAGGAGCAACACAGATGTTCCCCAGGTTGTACATGGAATGAATATTGGCTTATACAGACATGGATCATCAGCATCTCCTAGTGCAGCATAGCAGGGACCCCTGTGAGGTACCAATAACAAACTTGTGGATATAGCTTAGAAGCCGTTGTATGAAGCTTTTGGTCTTCTTTGTGTGCTCCATCTTGTATTTTGCACACTGGGAAATTTTGTCAGTCCTTATTACCCACAGTTATTTCTTCAGGTCTGCCACTTTTGTAACTGTGTTTCTTCATCGGGTAGCCTAACCTCTCAAGACATCTTACACCAATACCAAATCACAGCATGGCTGGAATACTTATGTGATAGTGTCATCTGTCACTGAAACAGCAACAAGGAAATGAGCAGTATTTCAAACTGGAGCAGAATGAGAACAGACAAAACAAGAAGGAATACTGTAAACCTGAATCCCTAACAGACAGGTGGATATCCAAGCCCTGGGCCTCCAGAGAGCTGCATGTGCCAATACCATATTTTATCTGAAGATCACAAGATGGCTGAGGTTGGAAGGGACCTCTGGAGATCATCTGGCTTAAAATCTCCCAGTGAGAACCAGGATATAACTTCCTCCTAGTCTGCCTAAGCCTTGGAGGGCTTCATTGGGTTTGGTTGGATACAGATAATTTAAGAAATGATACTTTTACTGTAACTCCACAAATACAGAGATGGTGGCTTTACAGCAATTTAAACTAATTTTTAAAGACTCTAAGTAACTTAGTAGGCATAGCAGTTAAGAAAATGCTCTAAATTATGCTCAGTTTAGAAATTCAAAACTTGGAAATACTCTCTTGTCATTTTATTCAAGATGTTTTCTGTACTACATTTCAGCACAAAGTAAATCAGCAGTGGGAAAAGAAGTGGGAACAAAAATGCCATAGGATTTGTAACAAAATGGCAAAACCGTGCTGAAAGGAATGACAGTCACATACCTGAGCAAAAAGGATCCTGTCACGTGCATCAAGTGCTTCCTTTTCCAGCACCACAGCACAGCCCCATCTCAAATTCTGTCTCTTGAGACACAGATGCACAACAGATAAGTGGTCTGATGCGATTTATCCATGCAGCCAAGAAATAATGTTCCTTTCCTGAGCTATAGCCAAGTCCGGTCATGGATTAGGTGTTTGCATTTTCTCAAGCCACAGCCTACACTCATGTTGGTACATGATTTCCCAATACCAGCCTTGACTTGTCTTCCAGGTGGCAGCTTGACCCATCACTTCTTCATAAGCCTTAGCCACATATCCAAACAGAGGGCAACCCCCCAGCATCACCCGCTGCTTGCCTCAGTTTTCCTTGGGAGACTTCTCTCAAGTATTGCCAGTGCCACACTATCCTAGCAGAATGTGCTGCCCAGCTTTGCAGGTACCTCTGTCTCATCAAGCAGCATCCCTCACGGAGCACTCAATTTGTTCAGAGCCCTCTCATAATCTTCAGTGTTCAGTAATGGGGAAGGGCATGTTTGGAAATAACTCATTTGAAACATATTTGTAGAAAAAAGGTAAAGGAGCAAAGTGTTAATGGTGAGAAGCCTGGAGCCCTTCTAGAGACACAATATTATTTTTACACAAGAACTCTGTAACACTTTAATTCCAGGGATACGAATGAGGAACTGAGACTGGAATCTGACCTCTTGTGCTTGAAAAATTCCTTAATTATTATTAGGATGGAAATAATACAAGCCATTATTTTAAAATAATGCTGGCTGGGCTTGGGAAATGCCCATTCAAATAGTAAGAAATAGAAATGTTAAGCTTACCAAGCACACATAATCTTTCTGCACAAGTGCATGTCTTATATTCAGGAAGGCAAGGTGCCTGGGGAAAATGACAAGTGTAATTAAAACCTGTCTCATCATGCATACACACAGGCGAGGACAAGCTATGACTGTAATGGTAACCACTCCTAGTAGGTGTTGTGCTTTTAATATGAAGTATTAAATAAAACTTCCTCTGTTTATTAACTGAAATATATTCCTGTATGCTTCTAGCAGTGTCTCTGTGCCGTGTTACAAGCAAGGCTGAAATTGAACTATACCTTTCAGCATCAACTTTTGTCTTCAGAGGTACAAAACTACCTACCTACCTTAGCTGAGACTTACAGGGACCTGGAGCACTGATGATGCTGCAAATTATTCTGCACTTTGTAGCTCTGAAGGTTGTTAGTTTTCCATGCTGAAGATCTCAGGCTTGTTATGGCATGGTGGGGATGCTCCACAAGTGATGCAGGAGAAGAGCAAACCCTGCCAGAAGCGCGGTCATCTGTTGCCTACAACTGCGAAAGGATGAATGCGATCAACTACATTTTTAATTAAAAAGAGAAGGGAAAGAGGCAGAGCTGGAGGCAGGCACTGGCTTTGGATAGTCTGAGCCTGATGTCACTTCAGAAGGGCAAGGTGCTGGGTCTGAAGGAGAGCGAAGCTCGGCTTCACTCTTCCCTTGTATGATACTACCCATGTATGACAGTTCCCAGGCACCCTCAGTGCTGTGAGACTATGTAGGCTTTTATGACTTTTATTGCAAGTTTGTTATTTGTTGCCAGAATTCTCCTAATGTAGACATGAAGTGGTAAATGGTGATTAATTTAGACAGCCTCAGCAGAGGGCTCTTGATGGGCTTCCCATGTAATACAAGAAAGTTAACGGGTTGCTGATGTACTTTTGTGAGTGAATTGTGTAGCCTGGTTGTTTAATGGAGTGTTTAAAGATTGTGTTGGCAATAGCCTATGAATAATGTATAATTAAATACCTTGCTGCCAAGAAACTGCTGATATGCTAGGGAAATTTCCATCAGATGTGAGAACAATTTTGAATGCACTGTCTTCTTGGGATGCCCTTTATGGTCTTGCTGCTTCAGAGATCACATTCCTTTTTTAGATACTGCATGTGAAGATGCCCTCCACTGCCTCTGCCTCTGTCTTCCAGCTTCACCTGCCTCTCTTTGCTTGTGTCTGTAAAACCTCCTGAATTTCAGTGAGTTTAGGCTTTATTAACAGAGCACCATAACCATGGATATATTTGCTGTGGAGTCTTCAGCCATCCTAGGTGTCTGTACCAAAGCACACTGCATCAAAGGAAGATGGATGCTGGTTTTGTCTCGTGGCAGTCCCATGATGCAGGAAGCAGAAACAGGGCCAAGTGATTAAAAAAAAAAAACCAACAAAAAACAGTGTTTCTTTTGCAGGTTTTTGGCACACGGGCTCCTTGTGTGAGATAAGCAATCCCAGAGGGTCACACATGATTGCTCAGATTTTGATGGACTCTGCAGTGTGATGCCAGCTCTGATGCCTCCAAATTTCCCCTTGTCCTCCTCCAGTGCATGAGGCCTCTTTGTGCTTTGGGCTTGAGTAGTGGGAAGTTGTTGTGATACTAAGCAGCTGAATCTTGCTTGACCAAAGAAATGAGAAGATTGAGAGTGAACCCTGGTTTGCAGGGGAGCTCTGGAGGTTGAACTGCCTTAGCTGCAGCTCCTTCCTTAGGAGGAAACAGGCCTTATAAAATACCCCAGGACATAGCTCAGACAGGCACATGAAGTAGTAAGTCTTCTCCTTTGCTCCTTGTTTTGGCCCTCAGCTACAGTAAGGAGAAAATAAAATCATAGCTTTGTTTCTCATGTGGAGTTCTGTGTACCTCGGCTAAATCTGATACAGAAGTGGCATAGGAGGGCAGGTGAACACAGTGTGCATATTATCACTGTCCAGAGTGCTCTCAAGTAAATATGTGTTAGGAGCAGACCCAGCTTGTGGAGTCTGTAGCTCTGTGCCCTGCCTCTGCTGTGGCTTTGTTATGAGTAGCCTACTGCTCATGCTGCTCTTTTGTCTGGATTTACACAATAGAGCCCTGAGTCAAAACATTTCCTGCAATATGGGCAGTATATTATTAGTGTAATGCTAGAATAAAGCCACACGTGATGTTGGTATTAATCAGCTGAGGAAGTGACATCCTCACTTGGGAGAGCGGTGTGGTGCTATTTGAAGTCATGTGGTGATGCCAACAGCAAGCTCCAGGCATGAGGCTACAGGGCAGGAGAGTTAATGGCTTAAAAGTCATATCCTTGGTGTAATCTGCAACTGGCTAAGCAAGAGGATTTGCCAAAATGGGAGGGAAGATCTGCACTTTTACTGACATGCTTACTGCTGAGATATTCCTGGGGAGTACAGTGTTTTTGCAGCTGCAGGAAAGGTGTATAGAAGGCATTAGTCTAAACACAGGATAGGTGGCAAGGATCACCAAAGGAGTTTGACTGATGGCCTAAATGTTTTTAAGAGAACAAATAATGAGAAAAGGTATCTAAAACTTCCTTCATCTCCACCATCCAAGACCCGTCCTGCCAGACAAGAAGTGTTTTCAGCAGAGAGGGTCACAGTGGTCTAGGCTGAGGATCATGGTCAAGCCCAACCAGGCTTTTGCAGGGTAGAAATGCTTCTGGCTGACAGTATACATGCAAGAGCAGCTTTCAGAAAGAGACAGTTCTGTTGTGCAGTTTATCACACTGATGCTTTTGAAATCTTCCCATTAATTTCTCTGTTTTTAATTATTGTTTCTTTTAGGTGAAGAGTGAAGGTCCCAAGCTGGTGCCCTTCTTTAAAGCCACTTGTGTCTATTTTGTCCTCTGGCTGCCAACTTCCAGCCCCTCTTGGTTCAGTGCCCTCATCAAATGCCTGCCCATCTTCTGCCTGTGGGTTTTCCTTCTGGCTCATGGAATTAACTTCTTAGTGTCACACCAGAGTGCCAGCCGCATCCTAGCAGGACTCATATTCTCAGCACTGGGAGATGCCTTTCTCATCTGGCAGGAGCAGGGCTACTTCATTCACGGTGAGTGCGGTGTCAGAGAGGGATGGCACAGTGTCCAACTGTTACCCTTTTTATTTAGTTATGAGCTGCTGGGCCATGTGTTTTGTTTATTAATGTCTAGCTTAAGCCCTGGGCAGTGGGAATCACTCATCCTTTGGCTAAAATCCATCATGGTTAGAGGAGTCATACAGCATGGATGAGTCTTTCTTTTGAGGTTTTCTTGAGGTTGGAGATAACTGGGACAGGTTTGGTTCCCTGGCATGTGCTCACAGCATACTAGCTGGCTGGAGGTGGGAAGGTGGCATGGGCAGAATCCCTGGGGAAGAGAAGGAAATGCTCATAGCACTTTACAGTTCCCAAGAAGCTGTGGGAAGCTGTATGGGACCTCCTATGTCTCTGCAAGGAGATCTATCAGCCCTTCGCTACAAGGATCAGAAATAGGACACATGGTGCAAAGATCCCCAGTTCAGAGTAGGTGAAGAGGACCTTTATGTTTTGATAGACAAGTCTGTAGCCTGGGGGAGGTGTCAGAAAGTGGATGTTAGAAACTAAAACATCAGAAATCTTGTCCTACTTGCAGGTTCATCATTATGAATCATGCAGCCTGTTGTACAAGACATGTCTGTGCTGCAAGACATATAAATAATGGGGAATCAAAGGCAAATCTTACCCGAGTGACCTGTCTTCTCTACAGAAAGATCTCTCAGAGCAAACAAGCTTGTTTTATTTTACTAGTTTACAGATTAGAACATAATGATTTAATCATTTAAAGCCACACTGGACCTGCCTGCAGCAACTCTCTCTCTGACCTTGGACTGTCACAAGAAATCAGCAGCATTAAGTCCTTCACTAAACTGACTGGTGGGGTTTCTAAAGTTAATTCAGCTAGCACAGGGATCTCATATAACACCCATTGTTAACTGTCTGTTGTGACTGTCCCACTGCAAAATGAGATGAGATGAGGGAAGTTTCCTGACTTGTGCTGTTGTCAGCTCTGAAAGTCAAAGGCTTATTTTCTCCCCTCTCATGAGGTCAGTATTTGGTTTTATTCTGGTATTCCCACAGTTGTTTCTTTATGAGAGGGAAGTGTGTGCAATGCCAGTTCCGAAAGGCCAAATGCTCTGAATCTGGTTTTAATTCTGCTTCCCAAGGGCTTATCCCAATCTCATTAAAAGTCCTTTACAGATTTTGATGGGATTTAGATTGGGCCCTGAGGATTGGATTTATCTGGGCATGTTGCTGAGGAGCTCTAGCCTTCTCTTGAGGTGCATCCCTTCCGTGCTGAATGTTGGCATTCTCACTAGTGGGCCTCCTTCTAACAGGGGTAAGCCAGCATGGAGCAAGTCACCTCAGCCCAAGTGTTTGTGCTTCTGTTTTGCCACCTGGAGTTGCTCCTTGTGCTGTGGCTTGGAAAACATTCAAGGCCTGATTCTCACCATAATTTTTGTACACATGGACTGTTCTGAGCTTTTCCATTCCCGCATAGCTGGGATGTCTCTGAGTTCCCTCTACAGTCTAGCACTAGAGGAAGGTCAACCAGTTACAGCAATTCACTATCTGTCAATCAGTTATCATATCTAGATAACGTGCTTTAATCTGCAAATAAGTCGTATTTCCGACCCTAGCCTCACAACTGAGAAGTGTTGATTTGGGGGCTTAGACACGTTTTTCTTCTTATTGAGAAGAAAAGTTGTCTTGGAGCATTTGAAAACATTTCTGGCTGTGTCCTGCCTGCCTCAGTCTGTGCTAATCCAAGTTACCATCTTCTGTAGTGAGGTGTTAACAGTTGTGTTTCAGCCGTTAGCAGATAAGGTGCACCACCCCACTTCATTCTCCACCTCTCCTGCCAAAGGTATTTTCTCCTGTTTAAAACTCAGCAGGCCACTGTTGTTGACAGCTGACAATATTCAACCTTTTGACACTGTTTGTGGGAATTTGAAATTTCAGGAGAATAAGAGGAAATACTGCAGAGAAATGTGCTTTCTGTTCAATTTCTACAGCTTTTGGGATGGAAAAAAAAAAAGATTTGGGAACTGGGCTGATTTGAATGGCTTTTGAGACAATGATTTTGTAAAAGGACATTTGTTCATTACTTTACAGGGGAGTGAGAGCCTGGGAAACTGCTCTTGGCAGGCTTGGCTTTTTTCATTTTTGCCGTTTCAGTCAGCTAATAACACGCTGTTTTCTGACTAGTGTCTTATCTGCAGAAGATACTTTACAGTGTTAACATCCATCTCCTTTGACAGCAGGCACTTAGAAACAATTTATGTGTTTGATGAAGGAGACAGGGACTAGCAAAAAAGCCCTACTGTCAGCCTAAGGGGAAACTCTAGGGCCATGGAGAGGAAAGGAAACCCCAGGGGAAGGAAGTGGACAGAGAGAAGTAGGTCTTACCTACCTGATGTGGTTGAGGGGGTCAAGCCAAAGGCTGAGAAATGCAAGAGAATTGCACCCCCACTCCGTGTGCAGCTGTCACAGGATTCCCCAGTTCCTGACGTTTTTATGTGTGTTGAATGAGCAATCCTGGGAGCTGACTCCCTTGTTTGTGACCAGCCTCACCACATATCACAAAACTCCTCCTACCTTTCTGGGCTTCTGCTTGGCTGCCACATCCTGTCCTCCTCTCCTCCTTCTCCTTGTTGCCAGCTGCCTGCATGAAGGACAACACATTCTTCAGTTCCCCATCCCACAACTCTCCATATAATGCCACTTAAGGAAAAAACACTCCTCACTACTAGGCAAAGTCACCTTCTTTTTACTGTGCCAGGGCTCTAACCTTCCCTGTACTGTAACACTATAAACAGTTCTGATCCTAAATCCCTCCTTGGTTTCCTCAGTGCTGAGCCCGTGATGTGTAATAGCTCTGTGGAAAATCAACTTCTCATTGCCCCCCATTGCACTTCCTTCCCCTTTTCACTGTCCATTTTCTCTAGACTGATCTCGGAGACCAGATTCCCACCAGTCCCCTCCCTCCTGCAGGTTCCCCTCTCATCCCACCATGGCTAAGGGAGACACTTTCCCTTTGAGCTGCCTCAGCTGCTCAAATATTAGGATGAAGAAATGTCTGCCAGCAGGTGGTTTTAGTGACTGCCCTTTATACCACAGCATCATGCTTTCAATGTAAACAAGTGTCCTGCTGGAGGACTCAGCTTCCCAATTCCTTTTCTCCATTTCATGCTTTAGAGCTGCATGAAAACTTCCAGCTACTCTAATAACCCTGCCAGGATAAAGTTGGACGGCTTGCAGCTGCACCATGTGTGGGTCTGAAAATCAGAGGACCAGAGGAGCTGGACTCAGTTTGGGGCCCATTATCTACAACTGGCACGACAGCTAGTAGTCAGCAGCTGTACCAATACTTCAAAGAGAATCTGGCATTTTATTTTCACTCATTAATTCCAGCAAAGGTTCATCTGAATCTTGCAAATAGCCATAAAATTGTTGGCAGATCACACTGGTGCAGTCCCTGGAATATGCCAGCTGCTTCTGTCCAGCTTAGGTTTCTCCTAGCTGTGGGCAGAGATGGAGTAGAAGCCAGATTTAGTCCCTGAGAGCCTTTGGGTTTGTGGCTGAATACTGTCAGGCTTTTCGTCTGAATTCAGAGGGATTGGTATCTTTTTCACATTTTGTTTCTACACTGCTCTGACTCGAGCCTTCCTATTCCACATGTGGCCAATGAGCAAAAACACTTGGATAGTTAGGGGATTGATCTTTGGTCTGCCTTGCTCACACCCTTCTGTCCAAAGCAGGGGAGGAGGAACCACCTGAAAAACAAGCTTTGTTCCTTCTGCAGCAGCCTAGTTCATCTGGCCTCTCAAGAAAAACATTTGCATCACAACAAGCTGTACTTGGCTGCAGTTGTGTATGTGCTGGGCTTTTCTCTTAGGGTGGGAGCTTGTGCTAAGGCTTATCTCCTATGAACAGATTTTTATGTTAAAATGATCCCAAGTGGTCAGTATGGTTCCCACTGGTAATGTTTAGTTGTAATGCTACAAGGACATCTAAGCCTGTGCTTGTTGTGGTGTATTTGAAACCCAATATAGTTACATGTTTTCTTCTGCTACCAACTGCCAGTCGCTGACAAAAGGTCACGCTTGCTATGTCAATGCGTCTTTCCAGGTTTGCTGATGTTTGCCATCACACACATCCTGTACTCTTCAGCCTTTGGCATGAAGCCTTTGGACCTCAAAGCCGGCTTGTTGATGGGCCTTGTTTCCAGTTCCTGTTACGCCTTCCTGTACTCCTACCTCTCAGGCCCATTCACCTACCTGGTAGCTGTCTACATTGCCTTGATTGGCTTCATGGGCTGGCGAGCAGTCGCCGGCGTGCAGCTGTGCAACGACCTCTGGACATGGACCAAGCTCTCGGCCTGCATCGGAGCGATGCTCTTCATGGTGTCGGATCTGACCATTGCACTTAACAAGTTCTGTTTTCCTGTGCCCTACTCACGCTTCATCATCATGGCTACCTATTATGCAGCCCAAATGCTTATTGCACTCTCAGCTGTAGAGAGCAGAGATGAAGAGGACTTCAGAAAGAGGAGCTAGGTGGAGTGCCAATAGTCTGTGAACAATGTGGGCTATATCTCAGGTGCTGTAGCTGCATTCACCCCTGAGAGAGATCTCCGTTTCTCTAAGCACATTGGTGATGTTGATTTTGCTTCTTTGAAGCATCACCTTCGGGGATTTTTTTTTCCAATGGCTTTCTCTGAATACAGCTTACTTCAGTGTGGAGTCCTCATCAGAAAGCTTAAGACTAAGACTGTCCCTGCAATAGCTACTCAGTCAACTTTTCCTCCTTGGAAGTGCTGTACTACTGCATTACTTGTTACTCTTGAAACTGATGCTGAATGTCTGGGATGAGGAGGGCTGATGGAAGGGAGGTTTGGCCATGAACTGTGCTGGAAAACTTGCTTTCCCTAGTAAACAGACAGGCACAGGTCTCTGGTAAAATCATAGGTAAAACCTAATCTAATCAATGTTTGTCTCTTTTTGTGTATTACTTAGTATGCAAACTGGAGCTATTGCTTCTGCTGAAAGAAAACCACCAAAATCCAGATAAGGGATGAGCTTTGGAGTCAACAGCAGGAAGTGGGGCAGCCCCCAGCAGAACCAGAAAGAAAGCAAAACGCCAGACAGAGAGCACAGACCAAGAGGTGTGCTGACATGCAGTGCTGTGTGCTTTGATCACGGTTCATCACTGCTCCGGGGCAGGTCTGTGGGTGCAAGTCAGCGTTGTCATGTGTGGCAGAACTAGGAGTTTGGTGGGATTTCAGGGACATCTAGGTAGCCAGGTCACTGTGTTCTCTGCTGTCATTCATGTGCGGTTACATACTGTCTGTGGCCACCACTGTCAGCTGAGACGTAATTGGCACATGAGGAACTTTGAGCTTGTGTCTTAGTAATGTATGTCCTGATTATCGTTAATATGGCAGACAGGAATCTGACTTTTATGCCTTTCTTTCCCAGTATCCTAACAAATAATATTCCATATACTCATTAAGCTTTACAATACCGTTGCTTGCAGTATCTCTCTTGAGTTTTTATGTGAGCATTTCCTCTGGAGAAAGCCCGATTTTGGATGTATACTGTTGCCAGCTGGTGGTAACAGTCAGCCTTGCAGCACTTGTTTTCAGAAAGCTTCTTTCAGCAGGGCTTCCTGAAAAGCACTTCAAAGTGCCTGCCGCTTCCTTCTCGAACTCACATGGATGCAGTGCGAGAATGTGCCATCAGGGCTGTTTAATTCTGGTCTAAATGCTTTGGATTTGTCTGCCCATCTGAGGAAGCAAGATTAATTCCGACTTCAGGCTCTTACAAAGAGGAAGAGGTGGCCCTGATTTTTAATCTAAGTTCATTTGTGACCATATGTGTATTTTTTCCTCTTATTTAGGATATTTCATAGCAAACTTTCTGTTTGAAACTGTCTTGAATGTACATTTTCTTTCTGGCCCTTTCCTAGGGCCACTCTCATGGACTGAGATGCTCCCCCAGTGATTTAAGACATGAATGCACTCAGGTGGGCAAAGGAAGCTTGCTGAGGGTTCCTGCACCTCTTCAGATCTGCAGGCAAAAGGGACAACCAGTGCAGACTGCACAACTTGAATCCATGTGCCCCAACAGCTCCTTGCACTCAGGCAGAGGGAGCAGAAGGGGCAGCCCTCCAGACCAGTGCTGTGGGCTGAAGATCACCACGGACTCCATACCTAGCGTGCCCAGACCATTCCAGGTTAAAGCCTGGCACTGAGTCCCTGGCACAGCCAGCAGAGCAGGAATTCCTCTTTGTAGAGTGCAGCAGGGTCAGGGGGCAGCTAAGGAAACCTCACCAACCCTGCTAGCTTTTCCCTTGGTATCAGAAGTTGCTCTGTGGATCTCCTGCTCCTCGCTGGCCTTGCATGGTGGGACTGGGTGGGCAATAGGCATTACCTCCCCATGACTCCTGCATTAGTGCAAATGCAGCCAGTATGACAAAAATCTAGGTTAACCATCCTGACCCCGTGAAGTCTTCTGCTGCTTTTCAGTCAGACAGAAAGGTCAGCTACATTATTGAGAGGGAAAGCATAGTAAATAGCATAGTGCTGTGTGATCTCTTTGCTTTAATGCTGTTGTGTGATATTGTAAGGATTCATTCACTGGCACACCAGGGCCTGCCTAGAGTAAACTAGTAAGGGAATTTAGAGCCATAAAACACCTTCATTCATCAGCACTGCTTATCTCCTGGCCACAGCTTGAACCCAGCAGTGCAGCTCTGCAGATGTCACCTGGTGCTACTCAGCTTGAGTGTTTGCAAATCACTTCCTGCAACAGACTGACCCAGCTAAGAAGAAATCTAAGCATTTGGGATGAACCCCACTGCTCTTCCAGCATGGGAGCAAACAGCACATATCAGTCTGATTTACAGCTCCTTGACATGGGTCAGTCCAGCACATTTGGTCCTTAGCTGGCACTTCTTCAGGGGGGCCCCCTGCACCCTGAGCTTCCCTTTACGTTGAGGAGAATGACTGTATGTTAAAGAATGCTCTGTTTAAAAGTTAGAATTTTGATTCTTTCTTCTCCCCTAGAAACGAGTAGTCTTCAATTTCCTGGAGATGGCCAAGTTGCTTTTCTGTGTCCATTTTCACCTTGGCTCGCTTTGTTATCCTGCTCCACCATCAGCCACTGGACAGTTGCAGAAATGGATCTTTTAAGTGCTATGAGGAGACCTGCCCGTTCTTCCCCACTTGCCATCAGAGGTGCAGCTTCTGGTGGCAGAGTTCTCTGGGTAGCTCTAGCTGGGACAGCAAACATGTGCAGCTCAAGTGGGCTGTTGTTCCCTCAGCGTCCTCTCATCTGGAGTGGGCTGGCTAGGATACATCCTGGCCAGCCATTCTGGCTCTGTCCCAGTGCTGCCGTGGCTTCAGACTTCCCAGGAACATGAGGCAGAGCCCTCAGCATACAAACTCAGGGAGAGTCCTGACTGGCTCCGAGGTTTGCTAGCAAAGGCTCTCAGTCTTCAAAACCTCTCTCCCGCTCTGCATTCCCCCTTTTAATCCATATACTTGAATGAGACCTTTTCCCTGGAGGCTCCTTCCTGCTGGGAAGAGACCACCTGCTGTGGATACTTATTTGATACAACTTTTGAGGTTCATAAACCCTGAGGAACACTAAGCAGTTGCTGGTAGTCCATTAAATACTTTTTCTTGGGATTAAAGCTGTTCCCTTAACCCCAATGAGGACAATGTCACTTTGAAAGGGAGCAAACAAGAAGTGGGAACAACGTGACTTTTTGTGGTACTGCCTTTGTGGGCCTTCCTGTTGTCTCTTTGCACTGTAAAACTGTGAGGTTTGATTCATTCTTCTCCTTTTCAGGGGTAAAGTCTTTGGGAAGCACCCAGTCTTTGGCCCAGGGACATCACAGAGGTAATGAAGCCTCCCAGTGGTGTAGCGTGCCTGGCCCCAGCAGCATCAGCTCCTTTGCCTGCTAAATACAGGGGCTTTCTTCTCACACTGCTGTATTCAAACATCCTGTGCAATTCCTGTCTATGATCTTTAGAGGTTCCACACATGGTTCAATTACTTTTGCTCTCTTTCCTTTCTGTAGTTATTACCCTCTTGGAGATCTTTTGGCTCCTCATTTGGGCAGATAAAAGATGTAGCACATCTATTTCAGCTCTGTATCTCTGTAGATAGATCCTCCTCACACAGGACTCCCAGTGAAGTCAGAGAAGCAATGTTAATTGCAACTCTTTTTTAAATACTAGTAATGCTTCTGGGTTATGCCAGTCACACTGACGTCAGCAGGATGAAGTTCGTGTAGAAATGGTGGCTTGAGAAGAAGAAAGCCAGAGGATTCTCACAGCTTTATTCCTACTCTAACAAGAAAACTGTATTCATGCTTGGTGCCTGGCTTCATACTCCTCTGTACTGAGGCAGCTCTAAGACTGATTTCTAACACGGCTTTTAAGTGGATTGCTGAAGGTTTCATGTTGTAATCCACGGAGATAGTTTTTACACAAGTATAGAAAATTCCCAGAACAAACTTCGCAGAACTTTTAGTGACTCTTCAGAGTTTTCTGTGCCTGTAGGTTGACACTTACTGTAGGTTCTCAGCTTGCTATCATGGTAATTTGGGGAGCAATTCTGGAAGAAGCAGATCGAAGCAAACAGCAACTGTAAAGCTCAGTGGTAGGTGCCTCTTTCTTTTTGCTTAGTTTCTGGATACAGACAGGGGCTCTTTTTAGCAGAGGTGTCACAACTGTGTTCTGGGAAGAGGAAAGGAAGTTCCAGCTTCTCATGACAGAAGTTCTCTTGGGTACTTCTCCTGCCTTTTATCCATGCGTTCTCCTTTTGTGGCCTTAGGTAAGTCACTTACATTTTCTAGGGCCAGGCCCTCATCTGGTGTAAAAAGGCATGTGTGTATGAGGGCCAGTGCTATGCCAAGTTACAACAGCACAGGACCAGGCCCTCACCCCATTTCTAAAATGGGGATATTGGCACTTATCTACCTACCTCACAAGGACGCTATGAGGATTAATGCTCATACAGTGCTTTGAAGATGTAAAGTGCTATGTAAATCCCAAGTATTATCATACCTTAGTGTTAAAAAAGCTTTTAGGGATCTGCAGGACTTTCCTTAAAGCACGGAACATGTGACTGCCTTTCCAGTTTGCATCAGATGGAAAGAAAATGCAAACGTTTTATTTATACTGGTTAACAGGATGGGTTCAGCTGCACTTGAACTCTGAAGAGGGTTTAGCTTAAATGCCTGAACTGTAATTTCAGTTTTACAGATGGTTTTTAGGTCTTCTAAAAGCCTCAACCAAATTCTTAGATATGAGTCTTACATCCAAATTTTGCAGTTTGGCTTATCCCTGACTTAGCTAAAATAAATCTAATCCAGCCAAAACACAGTGCTCCCACAATCTGCTATGGCTGTTGAAAAGACTGGGACAGAAAAGGAAGTCATTCTTTTCAACCTTCGTTCTGCAGAAGGACAGCTAGGTTTCATGGGACAACCTGCAAAGGGATGTTTAATTTCTGTGATGGTAAGTTTTCTGGTTTTAATCAGGAGAGGGAAGGCCTTGATGAAATCAGTAAGGGCATCATATCCTTGAGTTACTTCCTTTTCACCCGAATCAAAGTAATAGCAGGTTCCGTCATGAAGGAAGTTCTTGTACCACTAGTCCTATGGCCCAGAATAAATGTTGATCTAGAAATACAGCTCTAAACCATCACCATGCTCTCAACTAGTATAAAAATACCACTGTTCACTGATTTCAGATCTGGACCACAGCCAGAAGCTACTTGGTTCTAGTAGCATTAGCTGCTGTAAAAACACAAATGAAGGAGAGGAATTATACACCAAGAAATATGAGCTGTGTACATGTGAAATGGACCATAATTTAGAAGCAGCTGCAGTAAAATCTTAATATGAACTCAGAAGCAAACACAATGCAAATTTTTATGATTTCTTTAATATGTTTGATGGGTTTTA